CCCTTGCTCTAATCCACTAGACCCCCACTCCCCTCCCAGAGCAGGGGAGAGAACCCAGGAGTCCTGGCTCCCAGCCCCCCCTGCTCTAACCCACCAGCTCCCACTCCCCTCCCAGAGCAGGGGAGAGAACCCAGGAGTCCTGGCTCCCCCCCGCCTGAGAGAGTAGTTGGGGGTGTCAGTTCCTCTGGCAGCCCCGGGGAGGTGAAAGAAGCGACACTGGGCCAGCACTACATAAAACATGTTTAATATTCAATGGGGGTACAGGGGTCCTCGTGTATCCAACACCCCGAGAGCCGGGGGGGGGGGGAAGAGGCAGGTGGTGCTATACACACGGGCCACGTCCCAGGGCAGAACCACGGGCAACATGTCACACCAAGCAGAGACCGGGGGTATAAATACATGTGCTGGGGAGGAGCTGACAGTCCGTCCGTCCGTCCGCCCAGGGGGTGTGTGTGTTCTCGTTACAATCACTGTGCTGCACGACGGGGGGGGGGGGGGTCACCGTGTGAATCGCTGGCCCCTGTTGGCTGGTTAGGTGGCTCCCCAAGCCGGGGGAGTGGGTGAGGCCCAATTTCCCTCCATCTTGGGGGAGAAGGATTGGAGGGGGTCACATGCATGACTGCTGGGGGGGGCGGGTACAAAGGAAAAATTAATACACTCCTTGCTAACCAGCCCACCAAGAAACAGCCGCTAATTACCCAGCCCAACCTGAGCTAACGTGCTCCCACCACCGGCCCCTGGGGGACAGGATCCCCACGGCTACCATCCCTCTGCTGTGGGCAAGTCCGGGGGGCAGTGGGGGTCCCTGATGCATCTCCCCTAAATCCCTGCTCAGCCCAACAGGCGCCTCTTGGGGTGTCCCCACCGCAGGTGGTCATGATAACGGGAGTGCCCCCCACAGCCCCCCACAGCTGCCGAGGAGGTGGGCGCTGGGGAACATGGGGGGGCTGCTGCAGGGGGAGGAATCCTCCCTCTTGAAGTGACATGATTTGGTGTGTGGGGGGGGTGAACCTGGGGCCCTTGCTCTGGGGCGACCTCGGGGGAGTTATTTAGCAGCTGTGGGTGCCGCCCCAGTGGAGACACAGGGAAGCGCACGGGAACGCTGGGTCCGGCAGCGTCTGAAACCCGGGGGGGGAGGGGGGGCGGCGAGGCTGGAGGGGCAATTTCCACCATGGTCCCGATTCTGCCACTGAATCCACAGCCCCCCGGCGCCCCTCTCGGCAACGTTCACCTCCCTTGCACAGAGACTGCACTGGTCCCCCACCAGCTCTGCCAGCCCCCCCCGGTGCCTGTACAGTGTGGAGCAGGGGGAGACTGGGGAAAGGGCCACGTTGCCAGCAGGGGGCGCTGCCCTAGCAAGTGATACCAACCCCCCCCACCACCACCACCCAGATGAAAGATGGAACGGGATGAGACCCAGAAACGACTCGCCCAGCTGCCCCCTCCCCCTGCAGTGTCCCCTCCCCCCCAGCACAGACCAGTAGCCCCCCCTACACAGAAGCTTAAAGCTGCCTTGAGGAATTTACCTCCGTGTCACGTCACAGGGCACCAAGAACAACATAAAAACAACACAAAAGAAAGGCCACTGCTACACGCGGGGCAGTCGGTGCCCCCCACCCCGGCGGCAGGGGGCTGCCCCAGCACGGAAGCAGATGCCCCCCGCCCCCCATAAATATTTATATATCGATATATTCATCACACGCGCACACACACCGAGATCCGTGCAAACCCCGGGGGAGGGGGGGGCCAGAACCGAGACCCCAAATCAAACCCACAGCAACCGGTGCCAGAAAGAAAGCAAAACCCAACGAGAGGGGGAGGGGGGAGAACCGACGGGTCCTGCCAGCCTGAGAGGGGGTGGGCAGAAGGGCGGCTCACTTCTTGTTCTTCAGCTGGTTGGCCAGCCAGTCCAGGCCTTCGTAGAGCCCGTCGCCGCTGGTGGCGCACGTGGCTTGGATGTACCAGTTGCGGTGACGCAGGGAATGCAGGCCCAGCTTGTCCGTGATCTCCGCCGCGTTCATGGCGTTGGGCAGGTCCTGGGGGGGCAGAGGGGGGGTTACAGACACCACGGAGAATTCAGCCCCAGGGCGGCCGAGGCTGGAGGGGCCCTGGGACGACACCCACCTGCTTGTTGGCGAAGACGAGGAGCACGGCGTCCCGCAGCTCGTCCTCGGCCAGCATCCGCATCAGCTCCTCGCGCGCCTCGTTCACCCGCTCCCGGTCATTGCTGTCCACCACGAAGATCAGCCCTGGGGGGGTGGAGGGAGGGCACTGACACCGGGCACTGGGGGGGACAATTCAGTCCCCCAGCTAGGGAGCCCCACCCCACTCTGGGGCCGTGTGTGACAGTGTGCCCCCAAATCCCTTCTCGAGGGGTGACAGTGCACCCCTAGACCCCTCCTCACCACCCCACCCCTCTAATGGGGGGTTGAACAAAGTCATTCACCAATTCTCTTTCCCCCACCCACTCACACCATGGCAGGGGAGGGGGAGGAGCAGGTAGGGTGACTAGATGTCCCGATAAAATCAGGACTGTCCCGATATTTAACCCTTAGTCCCGCGTCCAGATCAATGTATGATCGGGACGCCATTTGTCCCAATATTCGGGTAAGGAGGCGAGCGGGAGGGAGGCCCTGACCCCGTGGGTGCTCCAGGACTGGAACACCCATAGGAAAAAACTGCAGCCAAGCTCCCCCCCCCTCGCCTCCTTCTCCCCCCCCATCCCCCCCAGCGCGTCTTGTCCCTGCTCCTCCCAGCGCTTCCCGCCGCCTAACAGCTGTTTGGCGGTGCTTTGCGCTTTCCAGGAGGGAGGGGGCGGAGCGGGAACGCGGGGCACTCAGGGCAGGGGGCAGGGCAGGGGCGGGGACTTGGGGAAAGGGGGTGGAATGGGGGCGGAGCGAGGGCGGATGCTTGCGCGGGAAGAGGCGGGGGGTGGGTGAGCACCCACCCAGCAGAGGGAAGTCGGCACAGTACGTGTGAGTGGCGGGCAGGTGAAGAGGCGAGTGGCGGGCAGGCGAGCGGTGGGTGGGGGACTGAGGAGGGACGCAGCAAACCAGCAGCTGAGGAAGGGGGCAGGGGGGGGGGCACGAGCGGGGAGGGGGCGGGACCTAGGACAGAGTGGAGGCGGAGCCTGGGAGGAGCAGGGGTGGACTGTGGGCAGGGCTGACGACACCAATATTTGTGTCCCGATATTTGAATGTTGTGATCTGGTCACCCTGGGAGCAGGAGAAACCTTCTAACCCTCCCTCCCCCCACATATACTCAGCCAGCCCTAGACTATCGCTGGGGGGAGGGAAGGCCCCCCCAGGAGGAGGGGGGGGGGGCGTCTACCCACCGTACCCTGGGTGTTCTGGAAGTAGTGCCGCCACAGGGGCCGGATCTTGTCCTGGCCGCCCACGTCCCACACGGTGAAGCTGATGTTCTTGTACTCGACAGTCTCCACGTTGAACCCTGCAAAGGGGGGTGGGGGCGTTAGCCACAGTCGTGGGGGGGCAGCCAGCCCTGCCCCCAGTGGGGGCTCAACCCTCTTTGCCTCGAGCTCTTCTGCAGGGTGTCCAAGCACTGGACTGAGACCCAGCAAACTCATCTCGCACAGGAGCTTCTCAATGGGCAAAGAAACTGAGGCGGGGGGGGGGCAGGGCGGTGCAGGTTCAGATGGGGAAATTGAGGCACAGAGGTCAGCAGCTTGCCTCCAAGTTCAGACAGCAGCAAAGCTGGGTAAAGAACCCAGGCGTTGTAACTCCCAATTCCTCCCCTCTAACCACTAGACCCCACTCCCCTCCCAGAGCCGGGAGAGAACCCAGGACTCCTGGCTCCCCCTCCCTCCCCCGCTCTAACCACTAGACCCCACTCCCCTCTCAGAGCCAGGGAGAGAACCCAGGAGTCCTGGCTCCCAGCCTCCTGCTCTACCCACCAGCCCCCACTCCCCTCCCAGAGCCAGGGAGAGAACCCAGGAGTCCTGATGAAATGGTCTATGGGGAGCCAAACAACGCTAGACAACAGCCAGGGCCCAGGCCCGTTATGGGTCAGCTGGTCCTTTCCTCCTGCCCCCCAGGCCAGCACGTGGGGCTGTGTGCTCACAGGACCACGCCCGTCACATGGGAGTCCCCGTCCCCACGGCCGGGCCGGCTGCTGGGAGCCCCCAGGGGCCGCGGCCCGGCTCCCGGCCCTACCGATGGTGGGGATGGTGGTGACGATCTCGCCCAGTTTCAGCTTGTAGAGGATGGTGGTCTTCCCGGCCGCGTCCAGCCCCACCATCAGGATGCGCATCTCCTTCTTGCCAATCAGGCTTTTCAGCAGGTTCCCGAAGATGTTGCCCATGGTGGCGGCGGGGGCGCGGTGCAGGGGCTCCCGGGGCCGGCTCGCTCGCGGTTCCTGGGCAGCGGGAAGGGCAAGGCCGGCCGGCGTCAGCAGCTCCCAGCGGACCCGGGCCCCAGGAGCTCAGCTCCATGGCAGGGCTGGGTCGGGCGGGGCATTGGGTGGCTCAGGCCCCGAGTCCCGGCTCGATGCCTGGCTGACCCAGCCCTGATCCCCATGTGTTCGACAGCCATGGCCAGCAGCGACAGTCAGGGGCCCCTGCTGGCCCATTGGCTTCAGGCTACCCAGCCCCATGGCTGGGGGCAGAGGGGAGACCCGCCGGCAATCGGTGAGAAGGATCGGCCCGGAGCCCAGGGCAGCACCACAGCCTGGTTTTGTGCACCACACAAGGGACCTTTCTCCCTGCGTCACAATACTGAAAGGCAGAGCCGGGGGCAGCCGTGCCAGGCCGTGCCCAGCGCCCACCAGGGCCAGCTGACTCGGCTGCCCTCGCTCCCCCTCCACGGAGCGTCGGCCCCCAAGGGACCGGCAGCAGGGTCACGGCACTGCTGGCAGCGAGGGCCAGGAGCAGGCCACGCC